GCATATTTTTGAATCCATTCCATAATGGTTTTGGTATACGAACGTGCAATTAACTTCCTCCTCTTGAAGACAAAAAAAAAAAAAAAATCTCGGAGATGAACACGGTACATGTATTATAAATTCTTAAGATGTATAATTAAAAGAATTTTAACTTTTCATGTGATTGTTTATCCTGAATTTCTTTGTTCAAAATTGATTTATATAAGTAAGTACCATTGACAAAAACGGGGTGTCTTTTTTTTTTATTTAGCTTAATTTCAGATTTAATTGTCTGTGTTTAAAAGAAATGTTTCAATTAAGATATCTTGACATGCGACCGATTTTTCTGACACTTAATTCTTAATTTGAATAATTTTTTTTTGCTGCAGTGTTCTAATTTGTAAATTGTAATATGATAAAAAAAGTTAATGTGCTTTAGCGACTGGCAACCTGTTCTTAATTTGCTTTGATGAAATATAAAGGAAGCAAACAGTATCATGATCAAAAGTCGAAATAAACAACACAAATTGAAAGGGCTATCACAGACCCCTGAAAACTTCAGAGGTGGAATCAGTTGCCATAGGGGAGTAAGCACTCCCTATCGACCGTTCACATCCCTTCGTGAGCCTTTTATCTTGAGTTGGAAAACGGATAAACCCGTATTCAGTTCAGGTTGGAAATAATGGCCTAACATTTGTATTAAAAGAAGTAGTCAACATTCGACCTAATGACAGATTGTATTTGCAACGGTGATCATTGTATCGACTATAAAATTTGCGGAATGCTGACTTTAAACGATTAAATTATTTATCAGTAGCCTGCTTCGGTTTAGAAATTGATCGTAAGCGGAACATGCTCTTGCGGATCGAATCAACTGGAAACTTTAACGTTGTATATAGCTAATAATGGTATAACTTCTGGATAAAGAAGGAAACTGACTATGGAAAAATTAATTACTTTGCCATCAATATCATTTTCTATTAAAACATCCAAGTATGAAAAAAAATGTGTCAGACTATTTGGTGTCGTTGATTTCGATTTCTATGGAATATTAGAGGATGTTCAATGTTTTGTAGTTGGATATGGAATAAATTGCGTGCGAGGCACGAGTGAAAATATCACATCATCCTGTTTTTAGAAAGAAACTCCATATTCAACTACAAAATATTGATTTTTCTGTTTTATTTTCCCTGATTTCCCCTTTGCCTCTCTCTTTACATGTTTTATAGGCTGTGACCTCATAGTTGAGCGGTTGAGATGTCATGGATTAAGGATTATGAGATTGAAAACATTGTTAACATGGATTTCTAGAACATATCGGAGAACTTTTGGCGGTTCTAGTCCCTGTCAACATGGTTATATTACCCTCTCTATCATAACAGGCCATGAAGTATTTTTTGCAACAGTCTTCGTGAAGGGAAGGAAAATCAAGAGTTTTGCCCCGCTATTGATATTCTTTACACTATGAAAAAATATCAAATTGATATTCTTTCATTCTGTTATAAAATATCACTTTTATCAACTGGGTTTTCCGTAGGAATTTCGGTTATTGAAATGGCAAAAATGGCGGGCGGCTTCCAAAAGGGCAAATCATTTGCCTGGATAACTACTCCTACAGTTGTCAAGATTGGAATCTTTTTTTTTTATTTTGCAGATTAATTGTACATATATCGTTTATATATCAAACATGTGGGTTTTACTTGGATTTTGGTTTTTTGATGATTTATAAGAAAAATACGAGTTGCATGTTGAATTTAGTCATTTCTATGCAAAATGTGCTAATAGATTACACTGATTTTGTTTGGATGTCACCTCCTACAGTTATCAAAATAGGAAGTTCATAAAATTAATGTGAGAAATACCAGTACTGTTCACGCAAAAGAAAACCCCGTTCTGCTGTCATTGAAAGCTTTCCCCTTTTCCATAAAAAATACCCGTATTTCACTGCTGAAAATGTTATGAATCAAGTTAATGTATGGAAAAACGTTGCTTTGTATGGGAGATTTTGATGTCAAGTATGAATTGCCGATCCGCAGATAGTCTCTTAGTGTATCCTTCCTTATTACATTTTATGATTGTGTGCATAGACCATTTTACTATTCAGGGATATAAATTTTCATATCTTAGCACATATTATATTAGTATTCGGCAACTAAAGTGTAGAATATGTGGCACTTATATTTCTTGTTTTTCTGCATGTGTCGATTATTTATAGCTGCTCTCAGTTGTAAGTATAAATATTTGTTATTTTCTTGAACATACTATTTTTATCATGGATTCTTCCTTTAATATTGTCATTCCAAGCTACAATATCTCATATTCTTATGGAATGAAATGTTATGATAAAGAACCAAAACATATTTTATATTTTCTTTATATTCAGCTTAGGTCTGAAATATATCCATTGGTGTGTTTATATTTACATTTTCCAATGTCTATCTCTGAGATAAAACAAATAAGGTAATGGCTTTAAAACCCCATAAAGCGATTTGCTCGGCACGTGACAGAACTGATGCTTTTTTCGCTGCGTGTTGCTTAGTAATACACCTGGCGGGAATGCTGATGTTACTTATTATTGAATTTTTTTATTGAATCAAGGATCAGATAAAAATGTAAATATAAGGAATAACTGTCTGGGATTTTTTTTTTTTGGGGGGGGGGGCTTATGATGATGACCAATCAATTTGCTCGAGTGATAATTTTACGCATAAACGCCTTCAGAGCAAATTGATTGGTCACATCATAAAACCAAAAAAAAAAAAAAAAAAAAAAAACTAGACAGTTATTCCTTAAATGAATCTGACCACGGTATGTTCCGTCTACTTGATCAATACATAGGGCTCACGGCGGGTGTGACCAGTTAACAGGGAATGCTTACTCCTCCTAGGCACCTGACCCCACCTCTGGAATTTCCAGGGGTTCGTGCTTTATGCCCTCGTCACAGAATTGTATTGTTTATAGATTTTTTGAGATCATGTTTATTATGTTTCAATAAATTTAATTTGAAAGAAACTAATAGATACCAAGTTTTCTAGGATTTATCTCATTGAGTCAGAATACAAACTTACATTGCAAATATAAAATGGAAACAAAAATAGTTATGAATCTTGTATTTTTTCCAATCAACATGTATATTGTAAGGCATTTTTAAAAATATCGATTTTAGTATTTGTGGTGCTACAGTATTATTTTTGATTTATGTTAATCATTTTTGTCATTAAGGTTTTGATTCCGTTACAAGTAATAGAGTTAAAAAGAAAAGGATAAATAAGCAGATGATATTTTATTTCCATGATCTCTACAAAATAAAACTGAAGACAAAACTGTCCCTGAAATAATTAACGAGTATATTAATAAAGAATACAGAAGTGATAGTGTAAATGTAACAGGTTAAATGTAAATGGTTTGAATTTAAATTAAAAATTAAATTTGAATTAGAATTTTCTTCATTATGGACTAGTACTTAGAATACCAAATAATGGGAAGGCGATCGGGTTGGGGTGGGGGAAAGAGGGAGCTCCTTGAGATATATTAAATGCTCTGAAAAGTATACGGGATTTAAATAGGTTACATGATTATTTAATGTAAACTTTATATGTCTCTTTTGTTGACCGTAAGAGAATTAATTTTAGGCAATATCCTATAAAATAGCTTTAATTATATTTCAAAACTCTGCTAATGTGTAAGATAAAATTATTTAGATATCATGGAACATGGCAATCTAACTATACAGTATGAAGTGCTTCATGTTTACATGTATAACTTAAGTCACATTATTATTGAAAATATATATAATTTCAGCAGGAAATAACTTCCATATATCGGCAAAGTACAAGAATGGAGATCTGGTGCTGACTCCTACCGGTTTCTCAAAGCTTCCAATTTATGTAATGATAAGACCTTTACAAAGTAAATGGATGATATTTACTGGAAAACAGTTCATTATAGAGGGCATTCTACAGTACAAATCTCCTACCATTCAAGTCGTGGAGTACAAGAAAAACCGTACACAACTCTTTTACAAAATCCAAGGTACGTTCTGGAAGCTACTGCTACAGTTATACATTGTCTGTTTTTTTTTTCCTTCTTTTTTCCGAGCACTCATACGATAAAAACAGGCAAGTTTACATCATTATGTATAAAAGTACATACACATAATCATATACCTGAGTGTGAGTAATCATTAAAAACAGCAGAAGTCTTCCGAAAGAAAATAGCAAGGTAAATATGTAAAAGTGCGAGTGTCAACAATTTAGTAAAAATTGTTCTTTAATGAAAAATCTAGTAAAACTGATATGTATTGGACGACAGCTGAAGTTTTTGTATGAGTTATACAGTTACATATTTAGATTTAAACAAAAAAAAATCATTATGTTACACAGAAATAAATGAATATTTTGAAACATCTGAGAGTAAAGGAATATCGTTAAATTTGTCAGATAATTTGTTTACATTTTGTGCTGAAAATATGTCTTTTTTTTTTTTTTTTTTTTGAACACTTTTTGTACATAAAATAATAAACTATTCAACTAACCGCAAGTTAGACAAAGAAAAATCTTTATGTATCTGAAAATCAGGTAAAGCTTTTTTTATATTGTAAAGGACATCCATTTTCTCATATATAAGAAGAATGTTATTTAAATTCGAAGAGAGATATGATTCATAATATGAACAATTGACGGTTTTTATTTTAAAGATTGATTTCTCGCTTCCACAGTACACGTAATGGAATCAAATGAAGGTGACACAAAGAATGTATCATGGACTAATAATGCGTTTCCTCTGAGTGAAATGTATGAAATAATCCACACATACGACGGTTTAGAAAGGCCAATCCTTCGTGCAAGTGAGGATAATAAATCAATATATGATCCTTCGAAATACGCCTACCCCAGTTCAACATTTTACTTTAGAAACATAGGTTTTAAGATAAAGAACATAACAACAAGGGATGCTGGATTCTATTCCGGATGTACTGTGAAAAATGAGAGCGGATGTACTGCGAAAAATGAAACCGGAAAAATGAGTCCTGGTGTGGAGGAGGCGTTGTGCTTGTGGTAAAACGTTGTCAGTTACACCCTGAAATAATGTTTGTTTGCCCTCACCCGACTCAAGGTACTAATAAACAAATTTGGGTTGGTAGGTACATGTCGGTGGGAATTTTTTCCCCCAGACAATTTCAATATCAATGCTAAATTTTCAAAAAAATATTAAAATAGAATTAAAATACTTGTTCACGGGATGAGAATATTCCGGAATGAAAAGAAAAAAAATGTCGTTTCCTGGAGGTTAAAAAGTTTTAAGTCAGGCCATATTTAGCCAGTTGGTCGGGAGAGGGCAAACGAGCATTTTTTTTAAAAAGATGGTCTTATTTTTTCCTTAGTTAACATAGTTGTAATTTAAGGATATTTGATCCTCAGCCAGTAAGGATAACTCTTTAATTTATTATTTTATTTAAAAAGTCTTAAAATAAAGCTTGAAATTGAGATCTTTTTTGTGCAAAAATTTTCATTTTATGCATCTCAATATGATTCAAGCTTCTTTGATGTCTGAGAAACAGTCCTGTAAAAAATTGACATTTGTACCCAATAAAAGAAAAAAATGAATTCTTTTTAGAGAAATGGAATTTCTATTAGTCTAGTATTAGATAACTATGCTTGTTAGCATGGTATGAAATTAGATGGAATACGTGATATCTAGCAATGATAGCACAAGCTTTTTACATTATGTATTATATAAAAATTGAAGTAAAGAGAAGAACTAAAATACTCTATAAGCATAAAAAAGGTGCTATTTTCTCCACATACCTGGATACCTATATTTTTTTTTATCTTAAATTATATTTGTTGATCAATTTTCAATTAGAAAATACATAGGTGATGTTTTTATTCGCATTTCCTGAAAATATATTTGAGATTTTATAATTTTCCCTATATATTATGATTAACAATAATTATGAACTTTGAAGAAATACCATGGGTAAATTCACGTTACTATGTGAAATCAGAGACTTTTTTGTGAGCATTTTCCATTATTTAAAAGCTAATTCTCAGAACCTGAGGATCGGACTACCTTAGGATTCAACTATACTGAAATTGTACGTTTTGCAATTTTTGTTAGTTTTATTTCACGTATTTTAGTGGCAGAATAAAAGTAAAATTGACACATTAATGAAAGCAAAAATTGGTATAATACAAGAAAAAGTATCACCACAAGCAAAATCAAAAATATATTCTCCGTTTGAGACTAAATGAATATCAAAATTTTGCCTTAATAAGTAGATTCTTTACATTTAAAACTTTTTTCCAGAATTTTTTTTGAAAATCTTTGTTTTATTCTAATGGAAGAAATAGTTTTCTCGCATAATCACTGGTGTTAGATTGACCTGTCCAGTGTGAGACAGCAGTGTGAGATTTTTCTGTCTTACACTGTGTATAAATACGCTGCGAACAGTAACGTAAACATTCCTTCTGATAGAACGCTTGTAATAATGTTTTAAAAAATCACATAAACTTAAAATGAAAATATCTAATTAATATAATCAAACTTGTTTTCATTCAAAAGATTGTCGTATTTTCACTTTCTAAATGGCACTATTTGTTTGTCGCGGAAGGATTCTTATAAAATGTTACGCTATCGTTTGTTTTTAAAATCCAGTTTATATAACTCAGAATGATTTGAGTGTACTGAAATTTATTTTCTGAGTTTACACAAATGTGTAAACCATTTTCAGGTACGAATTCTTTGATAGTGTATTTAGATTTTTAATTGGATGCTAAACTAATTTTTTTTTTCAATGGTGATGACATCATTGACATGACGTTATTTTGGATAAAATAATGCGAGAAAAATAATCATTCATTACATACTCGTGTGGGATAGTGAAATTCCACCTCATGGCCAAGATTCATGGTCTAGGACTCGGCAAAGCCTCGTCCTAGACCGTGAATCTTGTCCCCTCTGTGGAATTTCACTATCCCACACTCGTAGTAATGAATGATTCTATTAGTATCACCCGAGTACCAAAAAATTACCAAAAGCATAATGAAAATTATATACTGCATTTTCTAATGGGCTAAATCAATTCTTTTGGCTTAATAATGCTTTTTTCCACAGAGTTGATTATTGGCTATTAATTCAATGATTATACCTTTTTAAACATCTGAATTTGAAGATTTATTTCAGAATACAGTGAAAACTTGCTAACATGAAAGCCCATGGTTCGCAGAGATTCAGTTTCTTTTAAGGAGATTCTATATAGCCATATAGGAAAGTGTAAAGATATAAAAAGAATCGGGGAAATATATAACGTCCTTATAACCGAGATGTCCGTATATTTGATTACTTTATACGCTAGTTTTACAGTAGATTTTTCGACATTCTCACGAATGTAGCTACATCTATTCGAACAATGGAAAAAAAAACACATTTTTTTTAATTCCTATTTTAATTTCTAGGAAATCCAACTAAACCAGTGATAACAGGAAATCTGACTCTCAAAACAGGAGAAAACGCATCAGTGACCTGCTATAGTAATTCCACTTCAGTTCCATCCTATTATAAAGAGTTCCCTCCCTTGTCATACATATGGTACATCAACAACACATTGGTAGGAAAAACTAGGGAAAATACGTACAGATTTCCCATAGCGAAGGGCGATAAATACAGCTATGTTTCATGTCAAGCAAAGGAAACCCTCATATCTGAGAAAAGTAAACGGCTGCAAATCATACCACTCTGTAAGTTTTTTTTTTTTTTTTTTTTTTTTTTTTTTTTTTTTTGAGAAAATTTATAGAGAGCTTAGCTTTTTTGTAAGCCTATTGATTAAAAAAAAAAATCTTACAACAGAATCAAAATCTCAAAAGTTATTAGATAAATTACATGTACAAGTTTTCATGTCCACTCAATCCAAAATAATCGGCAAATTAGGAAGAAATGTAAACATTATATTTTAGTCTTTTTTAAATTTTCATAATCAGTGAAGACCATATGACAATGGCTTTTTCTGAATTGATGAAACATTCAGACCCAGTTTCTGATGTATATTTAAAAGTTCACTTTACAGTATTTCAAACTAATAATATAATAAATTGTAATGCGATGAAAATACATGTACATGTATTACTTTCAGACGGTCCGGATCTAGAAGACATGAAGATTTCACCATTGATCAGTGACAACATAACTGTACGTGACGGTGACATCTTTGGTCCGTATGTCTGCTCAGTGGACTGTAATCCACCATGCAGTATTCAATGGAAATACATGGAACCATCCGGAAAGTTTGTTAATGCCACGACCAAAGGACAAACATCAAAGCTATTTCCGGAACAACGAGTGCACAAAAACAAACATGGACTGTTCCAGTGTGTTGCACAAGGTTCAGATTGCAAACTGGAAACAATTACAATAAATTTAGATATTCAATGTACGTGGTTTTTGTGATTTGTTGAATAGGTAGATATCTAATTTTGGTTAATCAGTCTGGTGTACTGTCTGTCATTGAGATAGCTATTCATACTAGAAACACCATCTGCAATACCAATTCTGTTGTACGATTTGAAGAATGTGGATCTTCTCAATATTACTAAAATTTATCATGCATTTTGATTTGTAATTCAAGATATGTATAAAGAATTCAGCTTACAAATCCAATTCATCAATTTAAATCGTAAAGAATTGAAGATTTTGGCCTTTTTATTGTCTTTCTGAATAACTTTGGAGCAAAATTGGCAAAAGTATCCGTTAATAAATGGATTATTTTTTTTTTATATACATATACGTTTTATTTTCTCAATGTTTTCAGATTTGTCTACACCGAAGGTATTTATAAATGGATTAGCTGCTTCAAATGTGTCAAACATACCGGAAAATGAACCCCTGCAATTGTCATGTCTTGTGGAGGGAAATCCCGTCCCAGCCGTGACCATCAGCAGGGACAGTGCAAACAACGTCCTCGTGAACAGTGTGGGTTACTGGTCAAATTATGCATCTATTGAAAAAGCCCAGTGTGCCGATACAGACACCTACAGGTGTGAAGGGACGTCAAAAGAAATCCAAAGCAAATCTACAACATTTACCATCAATATTGTTTGTAAGTATTGTTGTACATATAATATTTAAGAGAGAGAGAGAGTAAGAGGTATGGATTCATGCATTACTAGTACCTTTTTCTTTTTCAGGTAAACCTCGGTTTGACAAACGTTTAGAGTTCAAATCAACATACCAAGTAGAACATCTACCTACAGTAATAACTGTCGATGTTCCTGTTATCTCCTATCCTAAACCGATTTCTGTCAAATGGCTCGGGTCGGTTCCTACGGAGGCTTTCTTTACCACGATATCTAGAGGAAATGATTTTTTTCATCATTGGCTATACAGCACAATCCCTATTTATAATGGCAGCTTTCTTGGAAACTATACTCTCTATGGCGATGACATCGAATTAGCAAGCATTAGGATAATAGGTTTTCGTTTTATTCATTTACTGTATACAGGGTTATTTGCACTCTTTTACATCAACAAACTGTTTTGTTCCGTTTTAAATTCGCCCATTCACATGTCTGTTTAAGAAATTCTACTGACTTCTTTGAAATCGCCACATCTTAAATTCGCCAACTTGTGACTCATGTGAAAGAGGCGAAAATGAAACGGAGGTGAAAATTTCCCTGTATATAGATTTTTTTTCATTTTTTAATGAACTTTTCAACAATTATAACATTAAAACAAATATATACCATGTGCAATGAGGGATAAATGGAATATAAAGTGTCTATCTTTACGACGGAAAAATACATATAATTTTTAATAGGAGGGACTTTTAAAGATTAACAAGCATTCTGAGAGTATTGCATTAGGAATATTAGTCCCCTACCGGCAAATGTAATCTGGTTCCCGTTAAAAATTGAAAATGCCATAATTCCGTCAAAAATGAATGAAGTTGAACGAAATACAAAGTTCTTCTATAACTCATCAAGGTAAAGTTACATAGCAAAAATCAGCTCAATATCTGCAAGCGTTGATGAAAAAATTGCGGGAAACCCTGAAAAATTGAAAAGGTCGTAATTCCGTAAAAAATCATTGAAGTGGAACAAAATGCAAACTTGATCTGTAACTCATCAAGATACACTCACATACTAAAATTCAGCTCAATATCTGCAAGCGTTTAGAAAAAAAAAGTGCGGAAAATCAAGTGGGACAGACTGAGAGACAGACAGACAGGGGAACAGACAGATTCAGAGGAAACCTATAGTCCCCTCCGGTTTCACCGGTAGGGGACTAAAAAGATACAATTCTAAATGTTCACTTTTATTGAATGTTTATGAATTTTTAAAAATTCGAAAAAAAATGTTAAGATGATTGATTGATTTCTATATGGACGTATTACATTTTGATTTTTTAAAAAACATTACAGAAGTAAAATCAAGCTCTCCAGAGTCTGTATTGATACCACAGGAGGTGTGGATTTCTTTAATTGGTACCCTCGCTTTTTATCCACATTGATGACCGTAGTTATTATCATACAGAAATGTAAGTATAGTATAATAGAAGTAAGGCCAAAATAAAATTATTGTTTGTTTGGAATTGCCTCTCGTCTCATTGAAATGACTACTCCTGGAAAAATTTTTTTGACGAAAAACAAGATTTTTTTATTCAATCAATTGTTGGCCTGTTACCACATGTGCCACCCAATCACTTCATAAGTGTAGGATTTAAGCATAACTGGGTTCGTGGTTGATCGGAGATACCCTTTACAAAAGGGCAGAAAATAATGTACGTGTTCATTCCTTTTCGAGATTTTTATCATCAATTTTTAATTTAACTTAAATTTTGAAAAAAAAAAAAATCATTTCACTCCCTCCCTCCTGGGTCTAAAACCTCCCAGGCGGCAATTCCAAACAAACGATTTTTTAAGGATAGCCTAAGAGGAATTATAGATACAAGAATTATAATTTTATTTCGTACTGATAGCCTTGATCAATGAATCATCATTATATTCAATGGGTCGTTTTGAAATTTTTAATTAGCCCCATTCAGAAGACAAACTACCCAGCCACAAGTAAGTCCAGAGACGGTTAACACAGAGAATCAAGCTACTTATGATGTAACAACAGAACCACGTGAAAGACAAGAAATTAATGGTGAATACGAAACTTTGCCTATTGGAGAAAAGGGGAAAACCAGAATGACCAACTTTGGCCAGTTTATGATGGACTGTAGTGATGACAGCCAAGATCAAGGATATCCCTATGAAAACCTCAAGTCGACAAGGAAATCCCAATGAAAACCTCAAGTCGACAAGGATCTCTCTATGAAAATCCCCAGTCAACAGTGTTGAGAAAAAAAAAAATTACATATATTCACAAAATAATGATATCTCTGTATTCAGAAAAATGCAGCTCATTTTTTTTTTAAAGAAAGGAAATTTATTACAATTTAAGATGAACAATTCTTAGAGGAAACGTGTAGAATCTTTAGATTTATCTGATGATTTATCGTTAAACATTTGTTAATCTTTTAATTATCTGATCAAAGCAATTTAGTGGAACATATGCTATACTGATTACTTTTAATAAGGTAGCAACTGCAGTTTGTTTGTAAATCTCTTAACAATTTCATGCTGACCTGGACATAGTTTTCTATTTTACCTAACTCAACTGAGTCGAAAGCTCGTGGGCTTTTTTGATCAATGTGTTGTTGTTTTTTTGTTTTTTTTTTTATCAAAGGTTTGCATGTCCATTATTTTGACTACCCCGGATTCACTGAGCCAATTTCAACTGAACTTGGAACATAGAATTATGAAGTATATAGGATTAAAATTTTTCAAATTAAGGGCAATACCCCTAACGAGAACAGAAAATGTAATGAAATAGAATGAGTAATAGTGGATTGAAATAGTTTTGAATTACCCAATAAAATCATTTTATATGTAGCCAATCGGTATTGACATTTCAGCCAACCAAATGTTTAGAATTGTTAACCAATGTTGGAATCCAGAGGAGCACAACAAAGAAAGCAATGTTCTTATCAGTAAAGAATAAAAGTCAGCTATTTATAAATTTAGAAAGTCTTCCTGATTAGAAATTGATACTGTTTATTTTACCTAAACTATAAAAAATTCTTTGCAGGACGACGTGAGACACCATATCAAACTTTCACACCAACGTAAAAAGATCATTAAAGGGATTTCTCACGTCTCAATTTATTTTTAATATGACCAAGTTCACATGTTATTTAAATCATATATTTAAAATTCTTTGCTAGATAATTAATATTTTTGATGTTTCAGCGATTCAAAGTTTCAATTTCTCAATATGCATATTTTGATCGCCGATGTTACGCGCCATTGCTCTGACGTCATAGGTGTCAATCCTGGTCAAGCGAAGTACTTATTGTGTATACAAAAGGGTTCATTTGTTACAAACCTATTAGAAAAGAATTAAGTGATAATTAGATAACTGACAGCTAGTGAGGTATAATTTGTGGCTTTAGGATGCACAAATGTGCACAAGAAAGGTTTTAGAAAGATTTTTCCACCATATATCTTAGATTTGGCCGAGAAATGAAAGAGGGGCATTTTCCGCAAACGCAACGATGTTTATCTTCATTCAGAACAATCGTTTATGCCCGATCACGAATTTTCTGTACTATAAAATATTTTTATATATGTTTAAGGGAAATATATTTTCAATACACATTTTTTTAAAAGTCGCACAGGATCTAGTAGGAATATTGCGAACTTAGTTACGTAATGGCGTTCGGCGCCATTGAACAGTTGAAGAAGTGTAACTTCTAGTATATGATATTCACTGCTGGAACATATAGAAGATATTCAGGATTTATTTATATATAAATAATTGAAATAATAAAGAAGTAGAATATAAAATTCCCAAATTTATAAATATTTACGAAATTAAACTTTACAAATTCGTTCTATTCAGTAGAAGTCCCGGGTTGTCAATTGCTCCGTCTTCGGTGTCATCTCCTATTGTCGGTATATTTTCTGGTTATTTCCCTCTGCTAGACGTTCATACATAAAATATTGACCGTCCACAACCAAAGGAATAACATAACTGAAATGTCCGTGAATTAATAATTGGTCTTCGCTTTGTGCAAAATTTCATAATTTTTACCCTAACAACTTTGCCATACCTGTCTATACGATATATTATTGTTCATGCATATAGGAGACACTTAAAATGAGTTGCCAAAATAATTACTCATTTGCAAAATACTGACAAAAATCCAGCAAATAAAAATAATAAAACATTCTCGTATAGAAAAAGTATTTTACAAGTCACCGAGAAATTGATTTAATATCTTATCATTTCTTCTTGGAGGAAAGATTGTTCAAACACTGGAATCCAAATGAGCAGTAAAAAAAAAATTAGTCCTATACATCTTTTTGTTAAGAACTATGAACTTTCAATACTATGTGTAGATGAGCATCGGTCTGAAATGAAGATCCCTATTATTATTTTCAATTATAATAATTCCATGCAGAATGCCTTCATACATTATTTTAAACTTTACTTTAAGTTTAATGTTATAATTACCTAAAACCTTTTTTAAAGTTGGTCATGGTCTGAAAAAAAATTACACATGTAATAAATCCAAACACAAATGGAACTTTACCGTCGGAACTCAAATATGTTCATATGATATAATGCATGCCGAGGTTCGAGAAAAAAAAAACATTTCCCTAGTTCTGCGATTTGAACACCTAGTTTTTAGAAATGTAATGAGATATGAAAATAACGAACAGAATCCAATCTCGAAAGTCCAAGCAAACAAGGACCTCAAAATTTAGAGGTGGGATCAGGTACCATGGAGGAGTGAGCATCCCTTGCCGACTGGTCACATCTGCCGTGTGCTCCTTTTCATGATTGGATAATAACGGAGAAATCCGAAGACAGTTGCGTGCATAAATAATGGCATAAAAATAAGTATGAAAACGTCAATCAGCATTTGACTCAATGATAGCTTGTATGTGCTGACAAGGTCATTGTGTCGACCGTAAATCTTGCAAAAAGCTGACTTCAAACGAAGCTGTTGATATCCTTATTCCATCAATTTGTTTGTCAATAGCTTGCCTCGTTTTAAGAATTGTTAATACGTACAGCATGCTCTACGTGTCGAATCAACTGAGAGACATAAACCCCATATGCAGGATATAGGGGTATATT